TGGAAGCCTTTTGGTCCCGGTTGGTGGCATCAACTGGGACAAAAGGTCCCCCTGCCTGGGCAAGCAGCAGCGCCCATGTGGAGCCCCATTTGTCCCGGTTCCTGGGCGAACCGGGACTAAATGTGTAGGGCTTTAGTACCGACCCCTTAGTCCCGGTTCGGGAACCGGGACAAATGAGCCTCACAAATCGGGACGAATGGGTTTTTTTCTACTAGTGCTCCGGCACGAGCCCAGAACCACACATACTACTTGTCGTGGAAGAGGACGTCAGAGGATGGGAACATACCTTCCAAGAGTGGCGTTTTACCATGCTTCCTGTTTCGTTACAAGTTGTGGTTACGCATTATGGTTATGTGTTTTTTTGCGGTGATTTATGGTTGTATGCTTGTCAATTGTCATGTTATGTTTCATATATACTTTATGTATTATACTATTGATATATGCATCCCATGGATGTGCTATATGTGTATCCTCGTTCTCAAACAGGAGCTGAGAATAAATCTGCAAGTAAGCTGTTGCGGAAAGTGGTGGCACCGGTACCCTTACTTTTACGAGATCCTGACTGATGGGGAACGTTGCATGGAAAAAAAAAAATTTCTACGCACACGCAATGATCTAACCATGAAGATGCATAGTAACGAGGGGAGAGTGTGTCTACATACCCTCGTAGACCGTAAGCGGAAGCGTTGGACAACACAGTTGATGTATTCGAACTTCTCGTGATCCAACCATCAAGTACCGAATGTATGGCACCTCCGCGTTCAGCACACGTTCTACTCGGTGACGTCCTCGCCTTCTTGATCCAGCAAGATGGGAGAACTAGTAGATGTGTTCTAGCATCACGACGGCGTGGTGACGGTGATGATGAAGTGATCTCCGTATGGTTTCGCCTAAGCACTACGAAAATATGGCCGAGGGACGAAACTGTGGAGAGGGGCATCGCACATGGCTAAGACAATGTATTGGGTCCTTCTCTCCCCTAGGGCCGGCCACCTATAGGGGGCGCACTAGCCCCTTGTGGGCTGGTGTGTTCCCTCACGTGGTCCATTAAGCCCATTAGTATGTCGGGGTTTCCCGGAACCCCTTCCGGTGACCCGACAAGTACCCGGTATCACCCGAAACACTTCCGTGTCCAAATACCATCGTCCGATATATCAATCTTTACCTCTCAATTATTTCTAGACTCCTCGTTATGTCCGTGATCTCATCAGGGACTCTGAACAACATTCGGTCACCAAATCACCAAACTCAGATTTACTCCTTCGGTTCACCGAGGTTGATAAGCAGTTATATGGTCACTCCTTTGTTTCTGGGAGTGTAACTAACTCCGGTGTGATCAGTGACGACTCTCTTTAGCACTCAATCGAGCCGAACAATGCAACTATAGTACTAGTACTAGGGTTCAGATTGGGTAGGAATTCTATTTCATACAGTACCTTGCGGCCTTTATCAGGTTTAGTAGGTCAGCAGTTGAGCTCCTCCCAAGTTATAAATCTGAAATCCTAACTGAGGCAAATTTATATGCATGTTCCACTCCACTCCACTGTCTACATGTTTACTTTTCGGTACTTTAGTCGCAAATTTATATGCACACCTCATATGAGTCTGTGATCATATTACGTAAAATTTATATGCATGTTCCACTCCACTGTCTAAATAGAATCTGATACATTTGCTATGTATACTGAAGTTTTGCTATGTATAACATTGCTACATGTGTATTTGTCTATATAGAATTGCATTCATTTACTCTTCTAGACATGAACCAACTCTTGCATGGAACTGAATCTGATACATTTGTGTAGTAAATGAGTATGTTAACATTTCACCTAGCTTGTAATCAAATTTTATTACTGCTCATGTACCTCAAGTTTATTTGTCGATGAGATGCCTGAGTCTTGGTAGTTTTAGAATCCCTATTAGTTGTAACATGAGCATTACAAAGTTTCATATCTATGATCAATTTGTCTTGCTGGCATATGCTTATTTCTTTAGGTTTTGTTTAGCTGATAAAGATATGGTTTTATATAATAATTGATCTCTTCTGCTCCTTATCACAGATGGGGGGAGGCCGCCACCGTAGGCCGGTCTCTGCCACACCGGACTACAACTTGGAAGGTTTCGAGTTCTTCACGATCATACTTAAGAAATACTCTAGGAGGCAGGTATATTAAAGGGGAGATCTCCCCTTCACCCATCTCTTTATCATAACTCTGTTGTTTGCTACATCACTCCTTGACCCACACAGCAGAGGCTGCCTGACACTTTTATGAAGATGTTGGACGACCATCAGCCAAAGAATGCGAAGCTGCGACAGGCCGGCAGCGGGCTTCACGGGCTGTGGGAGTGGAGGTGGTGATCAGGTACAACCACTTGTACCTGTGTCGTGGCTGGGAGCAGTTCGTCCGTGCCTACGACCTGCAGCATAGATACTTCCTTGTCTTCAGGTACGACGGCGACGCCATGCTCACCGTGAAGGTGTTCAACATGACAATGTGCCGCATGTCCTACCAGGATGACGACGATGCCATTATGCTTTGTCTCACACCGATTATTAAGAAAACTTTGTTGCATTTGGTCAGGCAATATAGGAGCAGCAGCAACGACTCAGGCTATAGCCAAAGCACCAGTAACTCTAGCTACAACAAAAGCAGCAGCGAGGATGAGGAGGAACAAAGTGGGGAAGAAGAGGAGCGGAGCGGGGATGACCTCGCGATGGTGGTGGCTGACGATGGCCACGCGATGGTGGTGGCTGACGATGGCCTCGCGATGGTGGCGACTGATAACGAGCTAGCGGCGGTGGTGCATGAAGATGGGCTCGCGATGGTGGTGGTGCCTAACGATGACCACACGATGGTGGTGGCGCCGGCGATCCCACAGCTGGCGGACGACATGACCACGCCAATTGTGGTAGAGGAGTACATCCCACCGCCTGGCCGCTCTAAGCGCATCAAGATGATGAAGGAGAAGAAGAAGAAGTTGGAGTGAAGATCTTAAGAAAAGCTAGTCTTCTTCCTCGAAGCCTAGCAGCTCCGCCTCCTCTGATCAGCACCACGCCGCCACCTTGCGCCGTCGCCCAAGACGACCAGTCGTGCCGCCGCGACGCAGATTGGGGAAGGAAGCGCCCCGGTGCCATGGGTGACCTGCCTCACCTGATGGCGCGAGGGAAGAGGGCCTCCGCCGCCGCCATCAGTCGCACGGGGCTTCACCCGTAGACCTCCTCTAGCGGCAACAAAGGGGAGGGGGAGGATGGACGGGCCTGGCGGTGGGGGCTAGGGTTTCCACCCGAGCCGCCCTAGCGGGAGGGCGACGCGGGGGTCTTGAGAACTTTAATAGCTGCTAATTAGTAACTTGAACCCATCATTTTTGGTAGTAGCAAAAATCCCGAAAGTTTGATTATAGCAAAGTAACTAGTCGGTTCCAGCAAATTTTTTATTCTGGTTCTTGCAATAACCACATCGCCGGTGAGGCGCGCTACAGTTCCAGCTCCAGTGGGCACGTCGTCTTGCCGGTTGCAGCAACCGCAGGTGCCGGTTCCAGCAAAAGTCTTGGCCGGTCGTAGCAAAACAATGATGCCGATTTCTGGCAATAACAAAGCCATTGGGGGTTGGAACAAAACAATTTAAAAAAGATGCAACCAGCTACTGAAAAAGCTACATCCGTCAATCCAAAAAGCTACAACCGGCGTCGCGGCAGAAAAGGAACATGCCAACGCAGGCGTCTCTCCCCGGCTGCACAACCAAGGTAGCAAGCAGCACACGTCCCTGTTGCGGGCGTCCACCCTGCAGGACCTTGATGCTGCGCCGAGGCGGGGGAAGGGGGAGGTGGGGAGGGAGACAGAGGATAGGCTGCCTGAGCAGTTAATTAGATTCATGGCGCCGCGGCCGGCTTGTCACCGCAAATGGCAAGGGATAGCGGGGGGAGAAGAAGGTGGAAGACGCGGTCATGAGTGGTTGGGCGTTGTAGACGACGGGAGAGATGGGGATAAGATCGCTGAGCGATGCTTGGTCCCACCCAGGCACGTGAGGCGCAAACCGACTGATCGACCTGTTGGAAACGTATGATGTGGGCAATCGAACGAGCCGCGTGCGACCGGCCGAGCGTTCTGCCGGCGCCCCGGCCCCAAACATTTCCCATAATCAATGGACTAAAAATATACTTTTCTTTTATTTAAATGATCGGTGGAGTTGTGTGCTTTGTTGGGTGCCACGTCTCACTTATATTGGTAATACCAATATCCCAGTAGGTGTAGCAATTTTAGAGAAGCACTCTCGACCATGGTGATATTTTTTACCAACGAGATAGGAGCTGTTTGCATAAGTGCCGGTAGGTGTGTGTAATCGCGCATGCAGGTAGCTAGTCTGCTAACATGCCAATCTAGCTTACGTGCAAATGTGCTTCTGAGCAGGGACGTCTGGGAGCACAGTTCGCGAGTATACGTGTATGCATGTGTCCCGTGCACGATACTAGTAGAAATTTCAATTTGAACAAAGGATAGAAAAGGTAACAACAGAAAACGAGTGTTAATCGTATTCGCGCATGTACGCTCGACTAAAACAAATTTGAATCAGTCGACAAAACGAAATTGCATCTTCAGTTGATTGACCCGTAGCCGGTCCCAGAAATCTCTCTAAGCCACATAGTACAGCGAACAGCCAGTTGCACACCAGGTACGGTAAAATACAGTACAAACTTTTCCGTAAAGTAAAAATACAGTACAAACTTGAGAACAAGCAGGAGTAATACTCAAGGAAAAATATAGCGCGCTATACAAAATAGCGTAGCCTCTTAAATTATGCTATTAGCATGCTATAGCGTGCTATTAGCGAGACATTATACACTGATTTATTTAATGAGACAATTTTTCATACGCTATAGTGCCTTATTTTTAATTGCTAATACTCCCTCTGTTCTTAAATATACGGCCTTTTGATAGTTCAATTAGGAACGGAGGGTGTATATTATTCCGTGGAAAGTTAATCGGGGAAGGAAGGAGCGATCATGCGATTGTATGGGCATTGATGGAGACGCTGTGGAGGACGACGGTCTCCACGGTGAGACCGGGGCCAAAGCCGAAGAGGACGCCCCAGTCCATTCCCTCACCTGTTGTGGTGTGGCCATCCTCAGCAGAACGTTTACGCATCTCATCCAGGATGAAGAGCACGCAGGCGCTTGACATGTTGCCGTATTCAGAGAGGACATGCCTAGTGGCGCGCATCCTCTCCTTGTTGAGGTTTGCCTTGGCCTCAACCATGTCAAGGATCGCTGGCCCGCCAGGGTGTGCCACCCAAAAGATAGAGTTCCAATCATCGATGCCCAGTGGTTTGAAGGCGTCTTCGAGGACGCGCTCGATGTTCTTGGAGATGAGTCCGGGTACGTCCTTGAGGAGATGGAAGGTGAGGCCAGCCTCCCGGAGGTGTCCTTCGATGGCGCCCTCCGAGTCCGGCAGAATGGTCTGGCTCGCCGACACCAGTTGGAAGAGAGGACGCTCAACAGACTCGTCGGGGTCAGCGCCGATGATCACCGCGGCTGCACCGTCGGCGAAGAGCGCCTGGCCGACCAGCGAGTCGAGGTGGGACTCGTCCGGGCCGCGGAAGGTCACTGCGGTGATCTCGGAACAGACCACAAGCACACGCGCGCCGCGGTTGTTCTCGGCGAGGTCCTTGGCGAGGCGGAGCACCGTGCCGCCGGCGAAGCAGCCCTGCTGGTACATCATGAAGCGTTTCACGGACGGGCGGAGGCCAAGCATCCTGGTGAGCTGGTAGTCGGCGCCCGGCATGTCCACACCGGAGGTGGTGCAGAAGATGAGGTGGGTGATCTTGGACAGCGGCTGGCCCCACTCCTTAATCGCCTTGTGTGCTGCCGCCTTGCCGAGCTTGGGGACCTCCGCGAGGACGATGTCCTGACGCGCGTCCAGAGACGGCGCCATGTAGGCGCACATGCCAGGGTTCTCCTGGAGGATCTCCTCCGTTACATGCATGTGCCTCTTCCTGATCTGGGACTTTTCACCTGCACCGCCCGAGGTACGTGTTAGTGAGCGTTCGTTCGTCCCCATGCGCCTGTTCATCCGAGAAAGACAGGCAAAAAAGAGACTTCAGGACACACGTAATTAGCTCTAAATTATTTGCCCACCCATGGTTCCGCTAGTACTCGCTATCATTTTGTCGAGCAGCCGATCATGGCCATGCTCCTTGTGTCCGTTTCACATATATACCTGTTCACTACTCCCTCAGTAGAGAAATATTCCTTTCGTTTCTTTTTAGTTCGCATATAAGATTTGGTTAAAGTTAAACATTGTAAAGTTTGACGAGCTCTGTAGGCAAAGATATCAACATTCAAACTATGAAACCAATATTATTAGATGCATGTTGAAATTAACTTTCATAACATATAACTTTTCTATTGTGGAGGTTGATATATTTTTTTATAAATTTAGTCAAACTTTTCAAAGTTTGACTTTGACCAAATCTTATATGCAGACTAAAAAGATATGGAGGGAGTATATTTTTTTGGATCACTGTAGTGTGTTATTAGCCGTAACGTACACGTCACCAATACAAGGTCCCACACACGTCATCAACATTTAACTAAAAAGTCTTATATTTCATTAGTTTAAAGAGGGAGTACATCCCTAGCTAGCTTGTCGAAATATGGCTTACGGCTAGTGATTAATTTTTGTTCTACTAGCTTATTTTTCACAACCAATTAAATGTTAATACACATGCACGTGACAACATGCCCACATCCTCCATGTATGTGGTAGGAGCATCTACAATCGCCCTCCTCAAAAGTCTGGAATGACAATCAATCTGGTTAATGATCAAACGGGAAGAAAGAAAGAAAAATGACCCAACCGGACTCCTCATTTTATTTCTATTTTTTTCCCAAACTGTCCCTCCTATACAGTCCGTATATGGCAGGGCATGGGAGGTCGAGTGTGTCCAGTCAGTCCTCCAGGTAGATTTGGCACATCACGGATCACCTTTTTCTCATTGTCTCTCTCTCTCCATATATGTATACATATATATATATATATATATATATATATATATATATATATATATATATATAGATATATATATATAGTGTGTGTGTGTGTGTACATATATATAACTTGGGGACAAAGTGGATGCAGGGTTGCATGCATGCAGAAAGGGACTTGAAAATGGACACGCCTTACACAAAGCGAACGCCTCCACATATGTTTGAGGGGCCAAATTTGTCTAGTTGGACTGTAGATGATCTAAGATCTTTCGAATGCATGTCTGTTTTTTTTTCTCTACGGCGAATTAGTGGGATGCATATCAAGTGTGCACAAGCAAGACCCCAACACGTACACGATATTCATGGGTACGTAGTACGTAGTACAATAATCTGTTACTCTATCTGTACTGATCTAAAACATCTTATATGAGTTTACAGAGGGAGTATTAAAGTATTCATATATAGCACAATAATAATAACATATACTTACACATCCTCTTGAACTTTTCCTTGAGGTTGGCGAGGTGCTCGCTCTTGGTGATCCTGAAGTAGTAGTCCGGGTAGTCTGCCTGGTACACGCAGTTGGCTGGCGTCGCCGTTCCGATTGCGAGCACCGTCGCCGGTCCCTCCGCCCGCTGCGCCTTCCTCAACTCCTCCACCGTCATGGTCGCGGGCACCATCGATCTCTACACCTAAAGACTTCGGGGTGCAGTGGGAAGCGCACGAGCCAAGATGCTAGCTGCCTGTACTGGTTTGGTGTGGGCGGAATATATAGGTGGGGAATGGTGGGCATGGGGCAGGAATTTTGTTAAAGCTGTGTTTCTTTTTAGCTGCTCCCACGCAGCCTTCTTGTACAAATACAACGGATTTCCTCGGCCAGTGCAGCCACCAACCTTCTCAGTCGTAGATCCCAATTATTGGAAGAGACAAAAGTAGAATAAACAAATACGAACCCTCTGGTGCTTCCTTTCATGCTTTTCTCTAGTTATTTTGTGTGTTTGTGTATTATACATGCAAAAAACAAAGAACAAGATAGCTCCATTGTTTTTCTGTGGAACTGTGGATGCCTAGTATTTTTGTTTCCATTTCTGTGATCCTGCACATCACAAATACGTAACATTACAAAGAAATGTGTGCTATATATAGAGCAGTTCCATTGAACTGCACAGATTCAAATGCTTTTTCATATGAATATGCTACTAATTTGTGATGGCCCATGCATGGAGATAAGAGCATCTCCAATAGAAGATGCAAATTTGGAGATGTAAAACAGGAGATTTACATCTCCAAAAAGTGTTTTTTGCATCTCCAAAAAAGTACCAACTCGAACAGATGATTTAAAACCGAGATATAAAAGAGCAACTCCAACAGATGATACAAATGGAGATGTCAAATTGTACTCCAACTAGTGCTCAGGCGGCGGCAATGCAGGGCAGCAGGCCGGGCTGCGGGCAGCGTTGCAGGGCTGCGGGAGGGGCGGCAGGGCTGCGGGTGGGGTGGAGGTCGGATCAAGCGGCGATGGGAGTGCGGGGCCGCAGGGCAACAACGGTAGTGGAATCAAGCGGCGGCAGTGCGGGGATGCGTCGGTTGAAGCAGGCGGGGGAGGGGGCAACGGTGCGAGGATGCGGCCCGTGATGCTTGCGAGGCGTCGGTGGTGCGGGGATGCGTCAGGTGAAGCGGGTGGGGCGGCGGCGACGGTGGAATCAAGTGGCGGTGGTGGAATCGATCGGTGATAGAAAGCCACCAGATTCACAGCATGTGGCGGCGTCCGGCGGACGAAACCGGCGGCGGAGTGTCGGAGG